GCCTAAAACTGGGTACTTTTTATTTCCTCCCTGGAAAGAGCCGATTTCTCATGTTCTGTCATTAAAAAGGGGAACTGGATGCCACAAAAAAGGCAATTATAAAACCAGGGGCAGAGGGGTCTGATCCACCCCAGGAAGGGTGGGAAGGGGGAACAGGGAGAGGGACCTAACTGTCCTCCAGGGGGACAAGGAGCTCTGACCCCCTCCCAGGGATAGGGTCTAATTGCCCCCTAGGGGGTCTGATCCCCCCCAAGGGGGTGATGGGTAACAAACGGATGGCCATAGAAGTGTCCTCCAGCCCCCCAAATTAAAGCTAGTGAGAAAGCTGGGGTGGCAGGGATGGGCAGTGCCAGGGGGGCAGGTGATGGGGCTCCCCGTCTTGCCCCCTGCCCCAATTACCCAGATGTGGGTGGATGCGCCCACCATTACACCCCGCCCCACCCCCTGCATAGCCCCCGGCCCAGCCTAGAACTCGGCAAACTCCTTGGCGCACTTCTCGGTGAGTGAGACACGGATCTCCTCCTCCTCATAGTCATCGAAGTTGCTTGTGTCGCCGGGGCCTTTGCACTTTGGTATGAAGGGGGCTTCCACCTGCGGGGGTGGGGCCAGGGCAGAAGGGATTGAGTCAGTGGGGGGCGGCAATAAAGGAAGCCCCCCCTCAGGCAGAGTGGTGGGATTCCAAGATCAGGCCCCTCATGGCCAACCCTGCTGACTCCAGCCAGTGCTGCACAGGCCTTGCCCAGTGCATAGCCCCTTCTCCACCTTGGGCTCAACAAGCCACACCCCTTGGCCTCCAGCCCCACCCCCACCTACCTGGTGTTCCACAGGCTCTGCCCTCTCCATGGCCCCACACCTGTCCTGCATGTTCTCCCCACCTTGTGTCCTGCCGACCTTGTGCTCCACAACCCCCAATCTCTGCCAGGAAGCCCTGTCTCCCCACACCAGGCCCTGCCTACCCGGTGCTCCCCAGCTCCCAGCTCAGAAGCCCTACCCACTCCCTGGCATGTTTTGCCTCTAGCCCTGCCCACCTTGCACCCCACAGCTACCACCTCTGCCCACATGCCCCATTCACACCACTGGGTGCACTTGTCTGGCCCTGCCCATCGCTTGGGCTCTGCCCCTGGTTGCACCACCCACAGCCAGGCCCCACCCACCTTGCACTAGAAGGTGGCAGCCCAGTGGCCCCACCCTGCAGCGGGCCCCGCCCACCCATCTGGCTCCACCCCACACTGGTAGACAACTCTCCCTGAGGCCCTGCCCACCCCAGGTCCCATCCTCCCCAGGCTGCACCCCCAACCCCACCCACCCCGTGCAGGAAGGCAGTTATTTTGGTGGCTGCTGCATCCCAGTTGGCTCTGCCCCCAGGTGGCCCCACTTCCCTGGCACTGGTGGGTAGCAATCCCAGCGGCCCCACCCCCGGCCCAGGCCCTGATCACCTTGCGCTGGTAGACAGCAATCCAGTCAGTGGTACCAAACCACTTATGGTTCTTGATGTCCGCGACGCCATTCTTGAGGTTTCCGAAGCGCTTGGTGAGGTCGACCTGGAGCAGGTTGCGCAGCAGGTCCTTGAGGTCCGAGCTGAAGTGCGACGGGAACCGCACCTGCGGCAGGGCAGGGGGTCAGCCCAGACACCTGGGTTCCCTCCCTCAGCCCAGGGTCTAGAGCGTGGGATGCTGGGGTTTCCTCCCAAGGGTGGGAGCCTGGGGGCCAGGACCCCTGGGTTCCCTGTCTGAAGGGGGGCCAGGGGGCCAATGGCTGGGAGCCAGGATGCCAGGGTTCCATCCACCAGCCTGAGCTGGGAGGGGACTGGGAACAAGGATGCCCAAGTTCCCTCCATAAACCAGCTTCCCTCCCCAGAAAGTGGGGCTGGGGGCCAGCGCCAGGACACCTGGGTTCTAGGTGTGCTGGCCAGACATTGGCTAGGGCCAGGACACCTGGGTGCCCTGCCCTCTGTGGGTGCCTCCATTGCCCTGGCTGACAGCCAGGACTCCTGGCATGGCAACAGGCCTCTGACTGACCCCGGGAGAGGGCATATCCCATCCCCCACGTGCACCACCAAACCCCTCCTCCCAGGAGCCAGTGCCTGGCTACAGCCCCCCCTCTCCCTTCCCCATGGTACCTTCCCGGAGACGATTTTCTCATAGATCTGGATGGGCTGGTCCGCGAAGAAGGGGGGGTAGCCAGCCGCCATCTCGTAGATAAGGACACCCAGGGCCCACCAGTCCACAGCCTTGTTATACCCCTGGGAGGGTGGAGCAGTGGGGTGTCATGCCCAAGCCAAGGGGGCAGGGTACAGGCAATGGGGGCAGGGCAGAGGCCTCCCTAACCCTGGCTCACCTTGCTCAGGATGATCTCGGGTGCCAGGTACTCAGGGGTCCCACACAGCGTCCAGGTGCGCCCCTTCACCCTCTTGGCAAAGCCGAAATCTGTCACCTGGGGCAGAGAATGGAGAGGGGGATGGGCAGGATCAGAAGATTGGGGGGGCAGAATCAGACCCAGGATTGGAGGAGGCAGAATGAAACCTGTGATGAGGGGAGGTGTCTGGCCTGGTTGATACCCCTGGGGGTGGCGCAGACATGGTGGGAGCTCAGGGGTGGGGGCACAGTACCTCAATGTAGCCCTGCTGATCGATGAGCAGGTTCTCGGGCTTGAGGTCACGGTAGATGAGGTCAAGTGAGTGCAGGTACTCGAAGGTCAGCACGATCTGGGCCGCGTAGAACCGGGCATGAGGCTCGCTGGGGGGGAGCGAGAGCGTGGGCGCCCAGCTGGCACCGCCCACCAGCCCCTGGGCCCACCCCCACCCCCAGTGATGGGAGAGAATCCAGGTGTCCTGGCTACCACCCCCCAGTTCCAACTCCTCTCCCAGAGGGGGACTAGAACCCAGGTGTCTGGACTCCCAGACCTTTGCTTTACCCATTACACTTTGTTTTCTACACAGAGTCAGGAAAGAACCCAAGTGTCCAGGCTCTCAGCCTCTCCCTCCCCATTAGACCCTACTCCCCTGCCAGGGCCTGCAAATGAAACCCAGGCATCCAGGCTCCCACCCCCTACCCCCAGTTGGGAAAGAACCCAGGTGTCCGTGCTCCCTGTTGGGCTGCTTTAACCACTAGGCTCTATCACCCCCTCCTGGATTCTAGTCCTGCCCCTGTGTCCCTGCAGCAATGCTCACCTGAACCTCCCGATTCGCCGTAGATGGGAGAACATCTCCCCGCCCGGGATATATTCCATCACCATGTACAGGTTGGAGTTGTCCTGTAAGGCAGTGCAGCCCCTGAGCCCCACTGCCCCGCTCCTTCCTACAGCCTCGTGGCAGCCAGCAGCCCTCCAATGCCTCCAGGGCAGGAGGAGAGGGGGGCTCCTTTGCAGGGGAGGTAACAACCTACCACTGCAGCTGCTTTGGCCCTGGGGAAAACCAGCCTAGACTGGGGAGAGGTCAGAGGAGCCAACAGCTTCGAGGTTTCCATCACTGCCAGGCTGGGCTGGGAGTGGTGGGAGGGAATGGATCAGGGGCTGGCGGGGGGTTGGGGGTGGGGGCTGTACCTTGAAGGAGTACTCGAGCTTGACGAGGAAGGGGAAGTTGACAGCCTGGAGGATACGCTTCTCATTGAGGGTGTGCTCAATCTGCTTCAGCTTCACCACCTGGGACGGACGGATGGACAGACAGACAGACAGAGACAATTAGCATCTGGCCTCAGGGAGCCCTCCCATGGATCCTTCCTCCCCCACAACCAGCTGCGATCTCTCTCCCAGCCCTCTTTAATGCCACCGGAGAAGCAAAACCTGCAAAAACAAAAACAAACAAACAAACAAAAAAAAGACCCCTCCCCGGGATCCATTGACCCCCAAACAGCAGCAAGCCCTCCAGGCACAGTCAGCTCTGGCCCCAGACCCAGATACCAGAAACCCAGGACACCTCCCAACACTCAAAGAGCCCTGTAAAAACAGCTCACTCTCCACAAAATCACCCCCAACCCCCAGAGCAGCACAAGTTGCCCACCCACAATCACAGCCCCATACCAGAACAATCCCCCAAGACAAAATCCTCAAAAACCTCCTCTCCAGAACAACCAACCACCCCAAACTCTACCCCCAGCCCCAAAAGCATCAGCTGCAAAAACCTCCCAATAAAACCAAACTCCAACCCCCCCTGAACATCCCCCCAAAACTCCATAAAACAAAAGGACCCCAGAAACCACTGCTAAAACAACCCCCTAAAATACCTCCAAACCCTCAAAAGCCGCCCCAGATGTCCCAAAGCTCCCCAAAACAAGCCCCAACCCCCTAATATCTCCAATCCCTCCAAAACAATCTACAATTTCAAAGAACCCCAGAAGCAACCTCCCAATGCCCCCTAGAATATCTCCAACCCCCTTAAAGCCCCCAAACCACCCTCCCCAACCCCCCATACTATCCCCAACCCTAACCCCACAAACTTCCCAACCCCCCAACCTGAAACCCCCTAAACTATCCCTGAACTCAAAATAACCCCCAAAATATCTCAACCCCCACAAACCTCCCAAATCCCCTAAGATAGCCCAACCTCCAAAACATCCCAAACAGAAAGAAGCCCCACAAACCCCCAACCTTTCCAAAATTGCCCCATTGCAAAGATGCCCCCTGCAAAACCCTGGACACCCCCAAAATCCCCCAAACCAATCCCCTCCTCCAAAAACCAGCCTCTCCCACAGCCCCACACAGCAACAGCAGCTCCCAAACCCAGACCACAGGATTCCCAGGGCTCCGAGTGGCAAAGACCAACCCCAATTTAACACGCCCCCCTTCCAAATCAAGCCCACAAGAGCCCCCAGACCCTAGCAGGCCCCCTCCCCCCAAACTTGGGATGTGCCAGTTTCATCCCAGATCAAAGATCCAACCCATGGCCCTGTTTCCTGGCCACGGGCCCCCAGAGCCTGTGCCTGGACCCCCCTCCCTAACCCCCAGGGCCTCTGCTCCCAAGACACTCCTTGTCCCCCAACATGGCTGCAACCCCCCCAGCCACCTCCATGTGAACCCCGTTTCCCCCCCGCCCCACCTTCTGCTTATCCAGGATCTTCATGGCATAGTGGTTGCCTGTCTCCTTGTGCTTCACCAGCATCACACGCCCGAAGGAGCCTGTGCCCAGCGTCTTGATGCGATCAAACTGGTCCAGACTGGCTGTGTTCTAAGGGGGAGGCAGGAGTGAGGGGGGGGGCAGCACTGGCCCTGGGGGGGGGCACCCCACAGCGCTCCCCTGCTGCCCCCAGTCCCATAGGGGCACTACCAGGGGGTATCAGTGACTGTCACTGGGGAGGCTGGGACTGAGCCCATCTGGCCAAAGTGGGGAGGGAGTGGTATCCAGTGGTTAAAGCAGCTACTTGGGGGCCCAGATGCCTGGGTTTTCTCCCTACTATGGGGGTATTAGAGTTGCGGGGAGCTGGAAACTAGGGTTCTCTCCCCCCGCCACTATAGAAGGATACAGAGCTGGTGGGTCAGAAAGCAGGGTCTTGGGAGCCCAGATGCCTGGGTTCTCCCATCGCTCCAGGGGGCTTCAGCAGAGCCCCACACCCCAGTTCTCCTGGATTCAGCCACCTGTAGTAAGGCTCATAGTATGCTGGGCACAGGCACCCCCTAGCCATGGGGTTGGGGTGTCACTACCTGTGAGGGGCTCTCCCATTTCTTGAGGAAATCTTCTTTGGCTTTGGCCAGGAACTCCTTCACTGCAAGGCAAGGGGGCGGAGTCAGGACCAGCCCAGGAGGCGGAGCCAGAGGGGACACACACAGATGGAGGTCCTATTGGAAGTCCCCATCTCTCTTGTCCTGGGCATCCACTGGGGGGGCACTACTTACCAGGAAGGCTATGACATCACCACCCTGTGCCCTCCCCCCCCCCCCCCCCAAGGATGCAGCCAGTCATGCAGGAGGGAAACCCCATGACCCCCCCATCATCTGTGATAAGCCACAAGGGGGCACTCCAGGCTGGCCCCTTGAGGCTCCATGAGGATTGTGGGGACACAGGGGACCGGCAGAGCCCCCAAGCAGAGGCAGGGAGAAACCTGTGTAAGAACAGGCCAGGTCCTGCCCAGCACCCCTGCCCACAAGGCAGGGCCAGGGGGCAGCCTGGGCCAGTGTTTGGAGAAATGGATTGGGAAGGGTCACCTGGGCTCCTGGGAGGCGGGGGGGTGGAGAGAGATGCCTGGCACTCAGATGCCTGGGTTCTGTGACAGGATGTCATGCATCTCAACAAGTGCTGCCACCGCACCTGGAAAGCGATATCCTCACCCCCCGACACCTTGGATGCCCCCCAGGCAGAAGGCAGAATCACCCATTCCCCAGAGCAGGCAGGAGCCACAGTGCAGCTGGGAGGGAACCCAGGTGTCCAGGCTCTCAGCCCACGTACTCTAACCCCTAGATTCCCCCACTCCCCTCCCATATCTGGGGAGGGACCCAGGGGTTCAGTTTCCTTCTAACCCTATCTCTACCACAGCCCAGTTCACAGCAGCCTGCCCCCAAATCACAGGGTCCAACTGATCCACCCAGAAGAGATCAGCCCTTGCTGGGGGTGGGGGGAGAACAAAATCAGATATGCCACCCCCCATCTCTTGCCCCCCCAGCTGCCTGCCCTGCCCCCCCCAGGATATGCCAGCAGCTCTGTCTGACCTACTTTCCCTTTGTCTCCAGCTATTTATAGACCCCAGCCTGCCTCCCAGCCACTGCCAGCCCTGGAGTCTTGGGGGGGGTGTCCCCTCCCCTCATTACTCTTGGAGACCCTGTGCCTGACCCATTGGAGCCCCCCTGACCTGCCCCGGACTCCCAGGCAGGGCCCTGCCCCCTGCTGCAGAAGCAGATGAAGCCCCCGCAAGTCTGGGCCCATTTGAGCTGGAGGGTCAAACCCTGCCTGATCCCTGAAGGGCTAGATGCCCAGCTAGATACCACCCAGACCCAGCTGCAGATGGTGGAGGGAACCCTGCAAGGTGGGGGGAGCCTTCTCAGCCCCACCACTAGGGGCCTTCAGCTGTGCCCCACAGCCTGGGGACCCCACATGCAACACTACCCTGGCCTGGAGAGCCAGGACCACGGAAACCCACCACAGCCCAACACAAATCTATCCAGGGCCCAGCGGCTATACAGAGCCAGGGATGCCTCCAAAGGCTCCAGCTACATTAAAATCCCCAATTTTCCCTTTGTCCCCGGATGAAAAGCCTCTGATCAGTGCTGCTTTCTGGCTATAAACTCTTCATACAATCAAGCCAGGAACAAGCAGTCTGGCATGTCCAACCCCTGCCCTGTATTGGGGCCCTGGTTAGCTCCCCCCTTCCCGGGCTGGGTTTCTGAGCTCAGACGTGGACCTAAATAAGGCAAAGGTTTCCTGGGCACCCAGAAGATGCCATCTCCTAGGATCTGTTTCACCTGCTGCTGAGATGCAGCCACATCTGGTGCAGGCGAGTTAATGCTGGTGTAGAACAGCAGTAGAAAGGGACAATGGGGACAGGGGGAGATCTGGGGGTGGGGCTAGTGACATCCAACCCCAGCTCCACACCCCCTGAATTCTCCAATGAGAGTGATGTGGATGACTTCCCCACAGCCCCCTCCCTCCATCTCCTCCTGCTGGGATCCTTACCCCCCACCCCCAGCTCTGGCCACAGGAATGACGCAGACACAGCCTGACAGTGAGGAGGTATTGGCCCCTCTATCCCCCCAGGTTCAGCCCAGTGCCCCCAGTCCCACCTGGCATCAGTTGGGCACTAGTGACGCTGCTGTACCCCCAAATCAGAAACTGCTCCACCCAGGTACTGGGAGCTGAAGGGTTAATGGCAGCTCCACACCCACACCCTTTTCATCCCCACCACAGGGACCCACAGGCTCCCTCTGGCCCCTGGTTTCCACAACAGGGTGCTTCCAACTGTGCTAATGAGCCCTTTGGGAATGCAAGTGTGAAGGTGGGGAGATCAGGGGCCTGGCATGTCACTGAGGCAGGACAGTTCTCCCCCTTGCAAAGCCTGGGTTCCCTCATGGCGCTCGTTGTTTCTCCCCCCCCCTCCAATCACACATAAAAGGGGGGGGGGTGATAGGGCCGACTGGATCACAGGTTCAAACCTGCAGTGAGAATGATGATGGAAGAAGATCCCAGGCCTCCAGGCCCCCCTGCTGTGCATTCAGCCCTCCCCCAGAGCAACAACCCCCTCCAGACAGAGGCCCCAGCAGGCAGGAAGGTGGAAAAGCCCTTTCCTGCCTCAATTTCCCTTCTTGCCCCTATCTAGCAGCTGGAGGGGCAGAGCTGATCAGTGAGGGGTTGGGAGGAGGGGTGAGGAGCAAGACTCAGCAGTGCCTTGTGGGGGGGGGGGTCCCTGACTGAGCCCCAGGCTGCAGCAGCAACTGGGGCAGGAAGGACTGACAGGGCCTGGCATCAACCTGTGACATCAGCCAGGGCCTGTGACAACAGAAGCCTGGATCGAATACAGTGACCACCCCCACAACACCCGCCTCCCCTTACCATCCATGCCAGGGACTCCGGCATCCTGGGCCCTGGGGGAGTTGTGGGGGGGGGATGCCCCAGAGGATGTTGGGATCTGGCAGGGGCTGGATGAGGACTTTGCTCCCAGCAGGGACAGCAAACATCCTCCACCCCTCTGCCCTCCCAAAAGCCACAGGGCCCTGAGCCAGCCTGGGGTGGGGAGGGGGTGAGACTAGAAACCCTGCAGCTGCCAATTGTCCCCTGGGGATCCCCGCCCCCCTATACTCCTGGGTATTGCTGGTAGTGGACCTGCCTGCTTTACCTGAGAAGGGGAGAGAATCCAGGTGTCCGGGCTCCAAAACCCCTCCCTTCTCTATGCCATCCCTCCCAGAGGTGGGAGCCCAGATACCTGGGTTCCTACCTCAACTGCCTCCCCTCTCGGCCTCAGGCCCTGCTCCCAGAGATGGGCAGGAAACCCAGGTGTCCAGGCTCCCAGCCCTACCCTGCTGCAATCATTACCCAGTAGGGCCCCTCCCAGTGCTAGGGACAGAACCCAGGTCTCCAGGCCTGCCACCTGCCCAATCGATCAGGACAACAAATCAAAGAATGAGCCCAGGAGTTCAGGTTTCCACCTCTGGGAGGGTTGGTGTGTGATAGGGGCTAGGTTCAAGGCAATCAGACAGCCTGCCCCCCCACCCTCCAAGAGGGACCAGCTTGAAGTACCTACTATCACCCCCAATGGCCTCATGCTATTCCCCCTCCCATCCCACACCAGCTAGACTCAGTGGTGGTTCCCCACAATCAGCTCCAAAAGAGCCAGGCAGCGCCAAAACCACCCCCCTCACCCAAGCCTTCTGAAGACCACACCTGTCCCCCACAACATAGGGATCAGTGCAGCCACCCCTGGGATAGCAGTCAGGTTACTGCCCCCCCCCTCCAGATGCAGCTGGTTTGGGGGGCAAATGGGGCCAATAGCAATGCAAGCCATAGAGAAAGCCAGCCATTTGCTTGGTGCCAAAACACAGCTCCTTCTGGGGGGTGGGTATTGGGAGAAGGGGGGCATCAGCCAACAGCAACATGACCTGGTGAACCATCACTGGAATGGCACCAAAATGTAGCTGGTGCTGGGGGGGAACAGGACAGCAACAAAGAGCAAGCAACCAGTTTACCCAGTGAAAGACTGCTCCAATGGCACAAAAATACAGCTGGTGCTGGGGGGAAACAGGGCAGAGGATGAACTGCCAACAGCAACATGACCTGGAGAACCAGCACTGGAACAGAATAGCATTAAGATGCAGCTAGTTCCGAGATGGAGCAGGGTCATAGGATGAAAGGCCAAGAGCAACACGACCTGCCGGGGGCTGAAATGCAGCTGGTTCTGAGACAGTACAGGGCAGGGGGGAACCATCCAGCAGCAAGGGGACCCACAGACACAACAACTCAAGTAGCACCAAAATGCAGCTGGTTCTGGGGAAGGAGCAGGGGAAGGAGGTAAACGGCTAATAGCAACACGACCCAGAGAGATAGCCACCTGTTCACAGCCAAATTAAGCTGGTTCTGAGGTGGAAACAGGGGAAGGAGGTGACTGGCCAACAACATGCCTTGGACAAGCCATAGCTTGCTTGGGGCTGAAATGCAGCTGGCTCTGGGGAGGAAGCAGCAAGAGTCTGGCAACCTGAAGACCCATCCTTGCTCACAGCCAAAATGCAGCTGGTTTTGGAAGGAAACAAGGGAGGGGGTGAAGGGTAAACAGTACTAGTGCCCAGAGAACCAATCACTCACTCAGGGCTGAGATGAAGCTGGTTCTGGGGGGGAGCAGGGCAGGAGGAACGGCCACCAGCAACGTGGCTTGGGGACCTGGTGCTTGCTCACTGCCACATGCAGCTGGCTGTGGGGTGAAGGGCAGTGCTGAATGGCTGATAGCAACAAACCCTGGAGAAGCTATGGCTCACTGGGGACTGAAGAGAGACTGATTCTGGGGGCAGCAGGGCAAGGGAGAACTAGCCAACAGTAACAGATGCTGGACTAGCACCAAATGCAGCTGGTGCTGGGGGAGAAGCAGATCCGGATCTGCCCAATCCCAGGCCTCAGCCTGGCAGGATCCACCTCCCTCCCACCCCCGAGTTTCCATTCCCTATGCCAGCCCCAGCCATGGACAGTGAAGGACAGACACCATGGCCTCGGGCCTGGAAAGAAGCAGCCCCCCTCTCCCCCAATCGATAAGCCACAGCCAGAGGGACCTGTTCGATGGGCGATGAGGCGGGAGCCACCCCCATCCCAAAGTACCCTGACAACCCTCCCACAGCCAAGAGAACCCAGGGGTCTGGGCTCCCAACCTCCCCCTGCTCTATCCACTATCCCACCCCCACTCACTTCACCAGCTGGGGAGAGAACCCAGGCGTCCCAGCTCCCAGCCTGGATGGGTTCCAAAGCCACCAAAACTCTCCTTCCCACCCAAAGCCCCCTGTGGCTTGGGGGGGTGGGAGGGAAGGGCAGGCAGGGGGTTTAAAAGGGCCTGCACAACACTGGCAGGTGCCCGGCACTGCTATTTTTGCCTGGGTGCCCACGTCAGGGGCCACTGTCACAGCCTTGAGTATCCAGTGCCCCTGCACTCCCCTTCCCACCTCCCCTCCCCCAGAGCTGGAAGAGAACCCAGGTGTCGGGGCTTCCATCGGATTGCCCTAAACTAGATCTCATTGATCTCCTGGCAACTGGGAGATAGCCCAGGTGTCTGGCCTCCCAGCCCCCTCTCTTGCTCTAACCACTAACCCCCCAGTCCCTTTAACTGCCAGGGAGAAAACCCAGGTATCCTGGCTCCCAGCTCCCCCCATCTTTACCTCTAACACATCAGCCCAGCCAGCCCAGCTGACAGCCAGGACTCCTGGGTTCCCCAACCCCACTCTGGGCCCGTTCGCCAGCAGCCTGCCTCAGTTTCCCACTATGTGCAGCAAGTGGGGGGGCACTGGTGATGATGCTCTTGATGGGTCCAAGCTGATGGGGCAACAACATGGCAGGAGAGGGTCATCCCCGACCCTGCCTCCATCATTCTGATTTACCCCCCACTGTCCCCCCATCTGCCCCACCCACCAGCCCCACTCACTCTGCTGGTTCCAGGCGGCTGCATGCTCTGTCTCAGGGACCCCACCTGTGCTTTCAGGATCCCCAGGGTCCCCCCGTGGACCCCAGGAGAAGATGCGCCCGGCCAGGCTCTCCAGCCTCTGCAGTGCCGACATCTTGCCCCCCTTGGCCTTGCTGGGGGTGGGGCTGGGGCCAGCTACCTCTGGCCCGTGGCTCATGCTGGATCAATGGCCACTGAAATGTTGGTAGCCGCAGCCATTCCTAGACTGGCCCCCCCACACACCTTGACACAAAGGATTGGGAGCTCAGCTGGCAGCTACACCAGGGTCCATCCGGCCTGGCTTCACTGGAGTTGGGGGCCTGGCCTGGCCCAGGGCCCTTAAGCCTGGCTTCTGGGTGCAGAGATCTTGGCACCAAGATGTCAGTCACAGGATGGCTGGTGAGTTTCACTGCTGGGGTCTCTGGTCCAGTCAGCCTCAGAGCTGCCTTGATCAGGATTTGGGCAGTTTTGGGGTCAAGTTCAACAGCTGCCCTTGGCTGGGGTCTGGTCAGGTTCAGGATCTGCTTGGGGTAGTCTAGTCAGTTTCACAGCCGCTGGAGTCTGGTCAGTTTCAGGATCAGCTGCTGCTTGAGGGTTCGGTCAGTTTCATGCTGCTGGCTCCTTTCCAGCCTTCCTGGGGAGGGGGTGTCCCCTGGGTCCAGGGCTGGAGTCCAGTCAGTCTCCCAGCTGCCCCCCCTGGGGCTGGTCAGTTTCAGGTCAGTTAGGCTGCCTTGGGCTGGGGTCTGGTCAGTTTCCTGGGAGTGGATCAATTTCTGCTGATCAAGGGCTGCTGGCCTCCAGTCAGGATCACAGTCAGGTTGAGGGCTGGGGTTCACGGCTGCTCCCCACTCCAGGGGTCCCCCCAGGTCCAGGATCAGCTGCTGTTTGAGGGTCCTGTCAGGTTCAGGGCTAGAGGCTCCTCCTTTGACTTCCATGGAGCAGACGCGTCACAGGCATGAAATAGTCACAGGCATGAAATAGTCACAGGCATCAAATAGTCGCTCCAGCTGGAGGGGGCAGGGGAGCCCTGGGTGGGGGAGGGGGTGCAGGGAGGGGACAGCCCCCACAGTGAGACCCCTCCCACCTGCAGGCCCGGTGCCCCCTGGAGGCAGCTAGTAGGGTTGCAAGCCAAGGGGAAGAAGTAGGGGGGTTCCTGATCAGCTCAATCCAATCACCAGCTGCAGAGAAAGGGGCAGCAGGTCCGTGAAGAGCTGCCCACACTCAGGCTGCACCCAGCTCTGGGGTGGGGCATGGTGGGGGAAGCATGGAGGCTCCTTGACCTTGGAGAGCGGAAGCCAGGGCAGGCGGGAGCAGAGGCCTTTCCGTGCCAGGAGGCAGCAGTGGGGGAGCCTTGAGGCCCCAGTGGCTGCAATCAGGGTCCCCCTGCACACGCTGGGCGGTGGTGGGTGTGGGTAGAGGCGGTTAGCGCTTCTGTCCCCTGCAGGAGCCATGGAGGATGTGGCCCAGCAGCCGCCCCAGCAAGTGCAGCCACAGAACAACCTGCAGCCAGATCTGGAAGTCACTGTCGGTACTGGTGCCTGCCTGCGAGACCTTGCCAGGGGCTGCCTCCATGGTGCCCCCCACCCTTCAAGGCTCAGCTCTACCACCCCCCAGCACAGATCACAGCACCCTCCCGTTGCCAGACCCCTCCCCTGGCAGCAGATCCTGTGGCCAAGCAGGCTGGGGCAGTGCCAACCGCTGGGTATTGTTGCAGGGAGGGACCCCAGGGACCAGCCTGGGGAGGAGGGCAGGCACAGCGCCAGGTGCCCTTAAAGGCATCAGCACCTGCTGAGGTGTTAACCTTTTGGGAGCTGGCACAAGCTAGAATGACCCCCTCCTCTACCCTACCAGTGCCCCCAGCTCCAGTGGTGGGGAAGGTCAAAGCCGGGCAGAAGTCTGCAAGTCTCAAAGGGAGAGAGGGAAGGAACCCAGGAGTCCTGATGGACCCACCCACCACACTGCCCCTCCCCTATCAGAACCTTCACCCTCCCCAAGCACCACCAGACCCCCAGCGGCTCCCAGGGCCCAGGAGGGAATCCAGAGGTCCAGGGTAGATGGGCACCCCTAGCCTGCCCAACCTCACGGAGCCAAGGGCTGGCAAGAGTCTGGAGGCTGCCAGAGGGGTTCAATGCACTGCAGAAACCCCAAGCAGAGGCCGGGACTGCAGCAGAAGGGGAACCCCCCAGTCCATGCCTGTTTGAGCAGGGGGGATAGTCCTTCCTGACCCCAATGCAGTGACAGGCTGAGCCTGAGCTGCAGGACAAGATGTAACCAAGGCCCTCTGGGTCTGAGTTCACCCCCATCACCACCCCCAGCCTGGGCTACAGACAGCACTTAACACTGTTGAAGGAGGAGAGAAACACCCAAACCCCTATAAGCAGCAGGGATGGGGAAGAATTCCTTCCTGGCCCCACATGGCTGCCAGAAGAGCCTAGAAGCCTGGTAAAAAAACAAAACAGACCCTGACTATGGGTCTCGGATCACACCTAGCTGCCCAGGCCTCTTCTCAGCCTCCAAGGCCAGATGGGAGCCAATCAGGGGTTTCCAGCCCCCTTGGGGGGCCCAGCCCACAGGCTTAATGCCAGGTCCATCATGACCCCCGCACCTGGAAGGGAGGGTAACAGCCTATCACTGCTCCATGCTAAACTGCCTCATTACACCCACCCCTGCCTTAGTTTCTCACTAGCAGATGAGGTCCCTGCCTCCCACCCCACACAGCGACACCAAGACCTCCATCATTAACCACATCACCTCAACAATGTATCCAGCCCCACCCCCTTCAGGAGGCTCCTCCCACCCACACATTCCCATGACAACCACTGCTGGGGGAGGTCAGTAAATTAAACCTGTTTGGGGCTGGGGCGGGGCCTCTGGGACCCAGGAGTCCCCTGGAGGACCCCCATCCCTTCCGCCCCCACTCACCGCCTGCCTCCATCTTGCCACTTTCTGCTGCCCTGGGGCTCGGCCTACGGTGCCCTGGTGGGGTCAATCTATTTGGGCCCAAAAGCCTACTGCTGCTGGAGGGCTGGGCTGGGTTGAGCCCTCCGGGGTGCCGTACAGGGGTTGGAGGGACAGAGGCCTCCTGGGAATGCTCCTCTGGGGAGCCTGAGTTTGGTCAATAGGCAGGGAGAGAAGCCCCTGATCTGACCCCTCTGGGGAGCTGTAGATGTGCCAAGCGAGCCTCTGGGTGCGACCCCTCCTGGATGCTGTAGCACAGCCAACAGCTAGGAATGGAAACCCAATTTGTCCCCTCCGGGGCACCACAGATTGGCCAGTGGGTAGCAGGAACCCCTAAGCATGAGCCTTCTGGGGAGCCGTAGACTGGCCAGTGATGGAAACCCCTGGATATGACCCCTCCAGGGAGCTGTAGCTTGGCCAACAGCTATGAATAGAAGCTCCTGGTTTGCCCCTTCTGGGGAGCCATAGGTTAGCCAGCAGGTGGGAATAGGAACCGGTCCTGCCTGACCCCTCCGAGACGCCGTAGATCAGCCTGCAGGCAGGGATGGGAGCTCCCAGGCACAACCCCTCCAGGGATCTGGATTTTGGCTGACAGGTAGGGAGGGAAGCTTCTGATTTGACCCCTCTGGGAAGATGTAGACAGGCCAAGCAGGAGGCACGGTGGTGGTGTGATCCCTGTCTGAGGGCCAAACTATGGATCCCTAGAGGAGTTATTCCCAGGTCACAGTTCTCCCCCTGTGCCGCTGTACAAAATCTCAGAGGGGTCAGCCGGCTCGGCTCGGGCACAGCCCTCCAGCAGATAGAGGTGCCGAGTGGGGGGTGGAAGGACAGGTGGTACTGGGCTCTGATACCCACAGGGGCAAGAAGGAACCAGGGAGGTTGGGGCAGCACTCCCCGGGCCTGCACTGAGGGGGACCAGATTGGGAGGCAGACTGCAGGGGACAAGTGCCAAGACCCCAGAACCCAGGCGATCTGAAGCCTCCCCCCCACCCCCATCCCCCTCATCAGGGGGCAGTGACCAATCAATGCATTTTATGGATAGGATCCAGTAATAAACAGGTGCCCCCAGGCCCCTTAGAGACAGTGTGAGATCCGGCATCCATGCTTTTTTATTCCCCCTCATACTGAACTGAAGGTGGGTTTAAAGGGGAAACAAGCTGCAGCTTTCCCATGATCTCCTGGGCCTGCCACAGCCAAAGATGAGCCTGGGACACAGGCAGCCCCACTTCCTGTCCCAACACACTTCTGTCTGGCAGGTCTCACCAGTGTCTATTCAGCAGGGCTAGAATAAGGCAGGCATCAGCTACTAAGCCCGACCACTGCCCAACCCATGGCTCCAGGGCCTCTGTGTCCCCCTTTGATCTAGTCCTTGCAGCCAAGAAAGGGTTAAGCCACAAAGGAGCCAAGCATCCAACTTCCTGTTTCCCATGATCCTCCCTGTGCCCACTTCCCCCCCCCCCAAATGCAGCTGCCTGGCTGTGATTGGAGGGAACCAGGAGTTGTGGGGGGGGGGGGTGGAGCCAGGAGGCCTAGGTTCTCCTCCCAGCAGTAGGAGGGCAGTGGAGGCTGGTGGGTTAGAACAGGTGATGAGAACCAGGACACCTGGTTCTACCTCAGCTCTGGGTGTAATGGTTAGAGCCAGGGTGTGCAAGTCAGGACATCCGGGTTCTAGCTTCCCCTATGGGGGAAATGTAGGTGATCAGCTTAGGGGAGGGGAGGCAGCAAGGATGCCTGGGTTCTCTTTCCCAACAGATGCCACAGATCCTGCCCATCCCCACCAGGGGCCCTAGATCACAGGGATGAGGGCCACAGAAGGGCAGGCTACATTAATGAGTGGGAGGAGGCATGGAGAGGAGTGTGGGCTGGAGTGGGTGCCCAGTACTTCCAGATGGGTGGGTTAGAGACATCTGTGAGCTGGGGGCGCCCCCTTCAGGCTCGTACTTGCTGTTGGCTTGGGAAGTGCTTGGCCCTGGCCTGGAGAATACGGCTGGGGGGAGGGGAGGGGTTGTGACACCATCACTGGGGCCCTGGCAGCTGCAGGGGTTTGCAGAAACCTCCCTGCCTCAGTTTCCAGAAACAAGGAGGACACCTGGGTCCCCAACACCAGCCCTAGGGGCTCTGCAGAGACAGGTCCTCCCACCGAGGGAAACTGACCAGGGTGGCAGGAGGCCCTGAATTAACAGCCCTAAATTTAAGATAAGCCTTAATGAAAGGGGGGAGAAGCTACTGGGTCTCCCCATTGTGGCGTGTATACCAGTTTATACTGGCCCAATCCAGCCCAGTGTCTCCAGCCCCACTAACCCTAAAGCACCTGCACCCCCACCCCAATGCCCTCTTTAACTCCAGACTCCACCAGAGATCTGATGCCCACAATGCCAGGATTGGCCAGGCTGGCACTGAGGTCACTACTTATATCATTGGGGTTCTCTTGTTGAGGGGTCGAAGCCAGACCCTGCCCCTACCATTGCTGCCTCCCAGTCCTCATCCTCATATGCCCTTGACATCATGATCTTCCACACCCCCCCCCACTTAAAATCAACCCCCTGGTGAACCCAGCTGGGTCTCCCACCCCCACCTTGGAAGCAAGTGGGGGTCATTGCCACACAAGAGGGGGCTGCCAGGGGATGGAGGGTAGAGCAACCCAATTGCCACAGTAATGACCCCAGATGGACAGAGTGAGCCCAAGTCACTGGACAGGGCAGTCACAGCTGGGGCTAGAGCCAGGGCATGTACAGCACATGATGCCAGAACCTACCTGGGGGCTATGATAATGTTCAGGGAAGGGGGGGACGACATCATCCATTGTCCAGTCCTTCTCCTGTCCCCCAAAAGGGCAGGGTATTGTGTCTTCTCTCCCTCCCTTAGGCCCAAAATCACCAGGAATCCAACAGCCAAGTGATTGCAGCACTGGGCTGGCCCTCAGATACCCAGGTTCTCTGCCCAGCTGTGTTGCTGTCTGGCCCTGTGCCTCAGTTTCCTCCATCTGCCAACCAGGAAGTGAAATGCCTGCCTGCCACCCCCTCATAAAGCCAGCGAGATTCACACAGCCCCTGGGTGGATGTGGGGGACGGGCAGAAGAGCCCCACTGATGCTGGGGAACTGGGCGCTCTGGTCTGACAGCTGGATAGCACCCTCGTCCCAACACCCGACAGCCAGGCCCCAACACAAAGCCCTCACCCCGACTGTCTTCCCTGCCTCCAGCCCCCTCCCTCTCCTCTGCCTGGTCTGCTCCAGCCTCTCCGGCCCTCCGGGATGTGTGTCTCTGTCCTGAATCCTGCACGGCTCAGCCTGGCTCACCTGCGATCACAGCAGAGACACCTTAAGCCTAGGAGCCAGGTCCCAGTACCACCAGCAGCCTGCCCCCCAGTACCACCAGCAGCCACACCCTGGGAACACTGGTCCCCTCCAGCCTGTCTAACCAGGGTCCCCAGCACCAGTGCTCCCCGTGGGTCACACACATGCAGGCCTGATGGAGGGGAAGGGGCACTTCCAGCAGGTGCTGAAGCTGTAACACAGTGCAGACCCCCGATCCTACCCCGCGAGTTATGGGGGGGAGGGTGTACTTCCTACTGCATCAACACGCGGGGAGGGGGGTACAGGCAGGATCCCCCACCCCAAAGCAGGGCTGGGCTGGGCTGGGCTGGGCGCTCCCCTCCCCCTGCCCCGAAGCCTCCTGGGACCCCGGCACCGGGTCCCCCAGGCCCGGCGGCTGCACCCGCACGCGGGCCCGGGGGGGCAGCGCGATCCCCCTCCTCGAGCCCCG